CTTACTCGTGACACCGACGCCGACGATTCGTAAAAAAAGAAAGAATACCGTAAATTCGAATATCATAATGGATATAGTCATCGAAATACAAGGTTTCCGTGATATCGAAGAAAACTTTATTCCTAAAGAAGTCGCGGTTCTTGCGATTAATGCAACGATCACCGGACACTGGATTATGCTGCCGCCTTATCCATTTCGCGATTTACCCGAGAGAGTAAGACGAGAAAACAACTGGCTTACGCGAAATTATCATGGAATCGAATGGTTCGACGGAGACGCCAATCCCGAATACTTTACTATACATCTGCGAGAAATTACACGACATGCACGCTACATTTATAGCAGAGGACAAGAGAAGACATGTTATCTGAGAAATCTACTCTCCAGAAACGTATATAATCTGGAAAAAATTTCTCCGGCTTTCAAAAATCTACCAGATTTCGAAGGTCGTGGACAACGTTGTACGCATCACGGATTTCGAATCAACGCCGAATCACATTGTGCTTTACGCAATGCTTACAAATTAAAACACTGGCTAACTATACGAAATAGCAGCAATTCGAGCTACGAGAGTCTTCCTTCAGAAAATTCGAGCGAGAGCGACGTCGAGAGCGAAACAGCAGACAGCCGAAATTTTTCGATTCTATTTAAAAATTAGAAACACGATATATTTCGCGACATCGATGCGTGGAAAAATATCGCGACAGAAAAGACGAAGCAAAGTGAGAACGAACAAGCGACAGGCGAAGAGAAAAAAGATCTTCTAGAATTCGCCACGCCGACGGATAGAGATAAAGCTATCACTAGTGTTTCACGAAGGCTAAATTTTGAGAACTCTAGGACGCCCGCATCGCCAAAAGAAGTAAATTCTGAATTTGCACAAACATTTCCTTTTTCACGGTCTCCGACGACGAGAAATGAATTCGTTGGGAGTTTTAAACGCATTGCATCATCTCAGTGTTCGACATGCGGGGGTCTATCCTGCCGACCGACTGCCGAGGGTGTGGACGAGGTCGACTGCCATTGTTGCTAACACGGACGATCACGATCGACCTGGTCAGCACTGGGTCGCCTTCAATGAACACGGTACAGGAACGTATTTCGATAGCTACGGATTGCCGCCCTTGGACTCAAGGTTCCTCTTATGTTTTCGTCGAAACTCCACCACGTATCACTGGAATACGACGACGCTACAAGGAATGCTGTCTCAAACCTGCGGACAATACTGCTGTGTATTTCTGTACTTTATGTGTAATAGTTATAATCTTAGCCAGTTTCTTAGTCTGTTTACCTCTGATTATAAACACAATGATCGATTGATCCTACAATTATTTCATAAAATTTTTCTTCATTTTAAATGAAACTTAACGAATTGTCATGCTGTATGCTGTCATGTTCAAACGTGTACTCTTTTAAAAAAGTAAAATATCTATTTCATGTAATACCTTTATGAAAAAATAAATAAACGTTTTTCTCATATAAATTTCGTCTGCTCCTTACTCTTCCTAACCTCGTCCCCATTTACAGTTTAGATAATGTAGATTAAATACATGAAAAAATATAAAGAATATTTTCTTTAATGCAATGTCTAAATCATCACATCGAAGACGTCACATCAGGTGATCATGTTCATTCCTGTTTTAGTTAGTCTTTCTACTAAGTGAAAACGAGAGTCTTCTAGTCTCGAAAATTTTCGTAAAGGAACCCGTAAATAATAAACGTCGGTACGTCCCAGACAAAAGTCTATGCCAGCAAAAAAATGACCTCCATAGTAAAGAACTCCATGCTATTCATGTCCCTACCTTTCTCCCTCTTCCCTGACAAAAAATATCTCAGGATCTATTTTCCTCGGCTTTCCCATTCTCCATTTTCGCTCTCACTTTCTCTTTCTCAACGTAACCTCTCTCTCACCAATCGTAGCGTAGGCAGCCATGGAGCGAACCAATCAGTGCGTTGGCAGCCATGGAGAGAGCCAATCAAAATGCTCTATTTAATTACCTCATTATCCCCTTTTTTCGTCTCCACCCAATCAGAGTCCCCATTGTTCCAGACAGACCCGTTTAGGCCACGTCCATGATGTCTGGGGAAGCGTGGAGGGGGTTTGTTTTGACGCCAGGGTAGAGTGGAGGGAGTTTGTTGTGACGCCCCATGGCTGCCCACATACTACTAACGTCATTATTATTTAACCTTAAACCTGACAAAGTTACATGTGATCATAAGTTAATGCGATTACATTTGATAAAAATTCTTCAAACAAATATAATTGAGCATTTCTCTCAAGATCCACAATATGCTCATCCTCAAAAAGTACTTCCAATAGAAGTAATAAGAACAAGAGAAGCTGAAGTGCTTCGGATACACATGATCCGTCATCAATTAACAAAACCTCTTGATAATCGTGCTGTAAAAATGCTTCAAAATATTACGAAAGAAAAGATTAACAATACTTAAATTGAACAAAATGACAATAAACATTTTGAAAAGCCATGTGAAAAGAATTCAAAAAGTAATCACGATATACAATTAACGCAAGCGTTTCGCAGGAAATTGTAATAAAAGAAATAGTGACACATATTAAGGGGTAACACCACTGTAAAATTTTCAAAAAATCATTTTTTTTTTTGGGCTTAAAAAAATCCTTTGAACCCTGTAGAATACGAGGAAAAAACTTTTATACGTGAAACTAATTTTTTTCATCGAAATTCCGAGCTGTGTACCGAACGAGCCGGGCGACTCCGAAACGGCTACCTGCGCAAGAAGCAGACACCTTGGACACTTTCCGTCACAAGTCACCGCTTTCCGAGGAAGTTTACGAAGCCATAAAACCTATTTATGAAGATTTGAGTCGAGACGAGTTACTAAACCGTTGCCTGGGCGTTCAATTTTTTCATGTTCATAATACAACTCCAAACTTTAAACGCGTTTTTCTCGAAACACGTTTTTTCAACGTGACAAGCAGTATAACTCAAACAATTTTTAATATTTTCGCTCGAATTTTTTACTGTACATTCAAAACAACATTTCGAAGTACAATACGTACGGGATTTTCGATACGTTGCTTTAAACATTTTTTATTGCCAAATAATGTCACTTTTTTGTGTCGAAAAATGAACGACTTTATTCAAATGCTCGCCAATCACTCAAAAATCAATATTTCTAAAATCCCCTACGTATTGTACTAGATATACCATTGAAGATCATGAGGAATGATTTTATTTGTTCTAGATTCAAATTTCCAATGGCTACACTGCTTGCCGCGGACCCCTTTATTTTAAAGGCGCATCGGGAATATGGCTGCCATTCCGCCATTTTGTAATATTTTTTTATGAAAAAATGTTTACAAGTACTTCAATATATGCTTATTAACTTCACGGAATATTAATACTTTATTTCATTTCCTTCCATTAAAAAAAAAATGTCGAAAAAGTGCAATTTTTTGGGCCGTTACAGTGGTGTTACCCCTTAATACTCAGACTGAGCAAAACGATATGTGTAATAATAAATATTCTGAAAATGTATGTCAAGAAGATTCCAAAAATAATCCCAATATAAAGCATTGTTTAGATGAACAAAATTTAGAAAATAAACGTGCTAAAAGATGTTGCCAATCTAAAGAGAATTTAGAATATAATCGTGTCCAATAACGTCAATAATATCAACGAAATTTACAAAATAATCGCGCTAAAAAGATTCGGCGATACAGAAAAGATTTGGAAAATAATCGCGTTAAACAAATGCAGCGATACAGAAGGGTTTTGAAAAATAATCGCGCTAAACAAATGCAGCGATACAGAAGGGATTTGGCAAATAATCGCGCTAAACAAATACAGCGATACAGAAGGGATTTGGCAAATAATCGCGCTAAACAAAAGCAGCGATGCAGAAGGGATTTGGGAAATAATCATACTAAAAAACGTTCTCATTATGAAGCCGACTTAAAAAATTATCGCACTAAAAAACGAATGCGTTATTTGATAAATTTTCAGCATGAACGTAATAGACAAAAATCTTATTGTGACTGTAATGCCTATCGCACATGAAATGCATAGAACATAGACATAGCATAGCATAAGCATAGAAAAATAATTCAATTTACATGAATGTGCATAGAGCATAAGTTTAGCCTATAGAATTGAGGATGGTTGTCAAGAATATTTCTAACCTAAATATTTCAGAAATGGTTCTCGAGAGATTTATAGACGTCATGTAACCTCGAGGAGACATTGGAGGCGCAAATCTATTACCTGATGGAGTAATAAATAAGAACCCCAAAACGGTCTCGAAACATAAAGTCCAGCATTAAAGACGCCATATTAATTTACAGAACATAACATAAGTATAAGCATAGCATCAATAGCATGTACATAAGAAATGAAATTATTCATAAGAACGAAATTTCTATGCGTATGTTTTATGCATAAAACCAATGAAATGTCAGCATTACACCGGAATACACGGTTCTCATAGGTTAATATTTTAATATCTAATATCTGTTCCTCCATTGTGCGCAGACCCTGATTTACCAAATCAATCAGCGAATCACAGTTCTGGCCGAAACAGACCCGCCAAGGGACTGAGTGCCATTTACATATAGAAGAAGAAGAAGTGATTCTTGTAGCTTATTACGGTTCTTCAAACAACGTAAAAATTACAAAAGTGAGCGAATTCATTAGATATTGATCAATGTAATTTTAAATATCCTAGCAAATTTACTCACTTTTGTAATTTTCACGTTTCAAGAACCATAATAAGTCTCCTGAAGGATATATTCTTAAATGTTAATACGATACGAGTTGGTTCTCTCGAAGTTTATTTCTGATGATAGCATATCACTGGTTGTCATTTTGTGATGGTATTTTGACAGATTGTTCATCGTTGCAAATAGTAGATGTACCGTTCTCTGCACTTATTGGTAAGTCATTTAACTTATTGTATTTTATTTCTCGATATAGATATCACTTCCCATCTTGAATATTCACAACACTACATTTTTTCCAGCGTACCTGAGTCAGTTTTGTAGCAACTAGATTTTGTGCTTCCAGTGAGTATCACGAAACATTTTATTGGCTGCCTTATTTGCTAAAACAAACAAATCCTTTAGTTACAGTGATTTGATCTTATTCGTCAATCTTATCCATCGGTGTAATCTAGTGAGTATCACGAAACATTTTATTGGCTGTCTTATTTGCTAAAACAGACAAATCCTTTAGTTACAGTGATTGGATCTTATTCATCAATCTTATCCATCGGTGTAATAAAAAATGTAAAATTTCTTTTAAATATATCACATTCATTTTTTATATATAATAAGGGTAAATTAAAAAATTTTTATTATTTAGGTATTCTCATTCACTGATTACATTTTATTATTTTTATTCTTATTAATCTACAAGGTGTCTAACAAACACCGTGCAATGTTTTAACAGAGTATTCTGGACGTAACAGAATAAAAACTCTAATACGAAAATGTCGAGTAAACTACAAAAGTTTAATTGATGAAAAGTAGCCATTAATAATCCATAGAATTCGTGCGCTTAAACCTGTCAGTATAGGCCTGAACGTATAAATTGGTTACAGATTAATGAACATGTCTATGTAACTATAGGTTTGAGCCACAAATTCTATGTCATATTAGTGATTATTTTTCACCGATAATAATTAAAAAATTACCGTAACTTCGACATTTTTGTATTAAGATTTGAAATATATCTGAGTATTTTGGTATTATATCTGATATATTCTGAAAAATGTTCCAATTTATGTAAAAATTATGAGAAAATTTTTCACCAGAGCGGGCAGCAGAAAACTGACAACCCCAGACGAAAAAAAGATCACATAAGAATACATACTTAAATATTAATAACAAGATGGACACGTATGATTATGTATATATTGCGACCATATCAGCATGTTATATGGTTTTACGAAAACGTAAAGGAAATAAGAAAAAACGATTATGGATACGACCCATAAATGTACGTCGACCGTTGTTTGGGGATTTCCAGCATCTTTTTCAAGAATTAAAAGAAGATGAGAAAATGTTTTTTAAATACACAAGAATGAACATTCATACTTTTAATAAATTATTAAATATATTGCGACTTCACTTACAAAAGATACATTGGAGAGCATTATCTGCGGAACACCGCCTTATCATTATGCTTCGGTATTTAAATACTTTTCAATTAGTTTTTATTTATACTATAGTTGTATTGTTATAACTAAAAATTGTTTTTCAGATTTCTTGCAACAGGAGATCAAATATCTTCAATTGCATTTGCGCATCGAATAGGGGAATCAACTGCTTATAAAGTTATCAAAGAAACATGCGCAATAACAATGAAAGTTTTAAGTCCCATATATTTAAAACCACCTAAAGAAGAAGACTGGAAAAAAATAGCTACTGGATTTTGGAACGATTGGAATTTTCCCAATTGTATAGGTGCGATTGACGGTAAACATTTCGTTATTAAAGCACCTCCAAATTCTGGTAGCTTATACTTTAATTATAAAAAAATCTTTAGTATTGTATTATTAGCTGTCTGTGATCACCAATATAAATTTATTATAGTAGATTGTGGTTCTTATGGCAGTAACAGTGATGGCGGCATATTTGCCCAATCAGAATTTGGAAAGTGCTTAAACAGAAATGATTACCTCAATATACCTGTAGAAAATTGTAAGTTACCTCTATCAAATATAGAAATGCCTTATTATTTTGTTGCTGATGAGGCATTTCCTTTATCGAAAAGAATAATGCGACCTTATCCTGGACCGTTTCTTACTGAAAGAAAATCTATTTTTAACTATCGATTATCAAGGGCTAGACGTATTATTGAAAATACATTCGGAATTTTAGTCTCAAGATGGAGACTTTTTCTACGTCCTATATGTTTAAAGCCACAACATACAGATACAATAATTATGGCAGCAGTAAATTTGCACAATTTTTTAATGACAGAAAAAGAAACAAGTACAAATAGTTATTGTCCAGTAAATTATGTTGATAGCGAAGATAACACAGGACATGTTACACAAGGTGAATGGAGATTACATGTCAATAACGTTAATTTAAATTTGCGACGTACTAATGTACATAGAGCGGTAACAGAAGCTTACGATCAAAGAGACATCTTATCTGAATATTTCTCATCACCACAAGGCGAAGTACCATGACAAATAGACTATATTCGTAGGGGATATAATAGAGATATAGCGTAAAATGTGCTTATAAATTTAGCAATTCTAGTAAATCATATAATGAATATTAAGCTTATGACCATCGACATATAGAATGAACCGCTGGCAGTGGTGGAGGTATAAGGACGTGAAGAGCACAATTGGAAGAACGTTCAGACTCTGTCTACTAAAACCTAATTAGTTACTATTGCTTCGGCAGTATTGACCTGGTCAATCAGGTTTTAGTAGACAAGAGTCGGAACGTTCTTCCAAATGTTTCTCACTCTTCGTATTTTATGCCACCACCACATCCATCAGCGATCTATTCTATACGTCGATGTTTGCGATACATGGTGCGAATTATTAGAAATTCAGTGTTTTATGTTGTCCAAATAATTTACTAGGTCTGATCTCATATGAAAAACAGCTTTATGGTCTCTCTGATGTTAAGCTTTACAGACAGTACATTTAAATTATTTTGTAGTAAAATACGGGGCAAAAAACGTATATAAAACGTATGATTTTTGTAATATAATAGTGTTTACTATATAGTAAATGTATAACTTAAACTTAAGTAAACATGTAAGTATAGTAGTATTAACATAGTAGTATTATATTGTATTTCGAATATGTAACAAATATATAACTTTCAATATCCTTCTTAATTTTATATTAAACTTATTCAATATTTATAATGCTACTCTAGATACTTATAATTTTTTAAACTTAATCTAAATTTATTCTATAATATCCATCGACATATAGAATGGACTTTTCAATAATTTCAATAAATTATTAAATATATTGCGACCTCACTTACAAAAAAAGACATTGGGAGAATTACCCGCAGAACACCGCCCCTCCTTGATGCTTCGGTATTTAAATACTTTTAATTTGTACTGTAGTTTTTTATTGTTTTCACTAATAATTGTTTTCCTTCATATTTCTTGCAACAGGAGATCAAATATCTTCGATTACATTTGCATATCGAATAAGGGAATCAACTGTTTATAAAGTTACAAAGAAATGCCAACTGATGGCAGTGGTGCGGGTATAAAGACATGAAGAGTGAGAGCGAAGCAATTGGAAGAATGTTTCGACTATGATGTCTACTAAAACCTGATTGCAGGTTGTTATTACTTTTGCAGTACTGGTCTGGTCAATTAGGTTTTAGTAGACAGAGTCGAAACATTCTTCCAATTGTTTCACTCTCACTCTTCGCGTTTTTAGTATACCATTGCCATCAGCGGTCCATTCTATATGTCAATGATAATATCGTATATTTCAAACTTATTAAAAAAAGCAATATATACATATTATGTATATGTATATAATGCGATATATGTATATACATATATAATAATACAACTTTGTAAGGAACATCGAAGGTTATCTATTTTCATCCACGATGCTATACCAGTCAGCGATTTGTTTCTGAACAGCACATATTTGAAGGTGATACTTGTGTTTTCAAGTAATAATTAATACCTGAGAATGAGAGTGTTCCGATTGCGCACAGACCCGATCAGGACACTCCCTTTGAGAATACAAGCATGATCTTTAAATGTCGACTATATGCTATTCAAAAACATTCACATTTTTGTTGGCCAGTACAACTTTATAAACGAAAAAATTCTACTATAAATTGTATAGTATTTTCATCAACTGCCCTTTTACTGTACTTTTTTGTGGTTCTGGAATTTTTTTTAATTGACATGCAATTATTTTTGCGAAAATGTCATCCTCATCTGTGAAATCAGAGGGTAGTTCATTCGATTTCTTACTTTCTAAATGTGTTGAAACCACTGATGCCAATTTCAAGAAAGATTCTTCCATCTTATCGTTTGTAGGGGATTCTTGTTTAATTTTTCTTTGAAATTTGTTTGGTACTTAAAAATTTTTCTCTTTTGATATGTCAGACATACTTGATGAAGATTTGGAAGACGCTGCTGAAGATGTGTTATAATCAATTACTGATAATGTCTCTCTTTTAGGTGATGCTAATTTTGAATGTGCAGAAACTATTTTTCTCTTAGTATGCAATGTTTCTGAGCATTTTAATGGAGATAATGTTTCATCATCAATAAGTATATCTGGTGTACAGAAATCATCGTTGCTATCAAATGATAATTCTAGAGAGAAAAATAAAGAGGATGAATGTTAACATTAATTCATTTGCAATAGTAGTGATATAAGGGAGTGTCCCGTTTGCCTACAGATCCGATCCGACACAACCACTCACAGCAGATGATGCCTTAAGCCAATTCTACAATTGCGTAAGCGTAGTAAGATTTGGCCAATCATAGCCGAGTTTGAGCAGAATTTTCGATTGTGGTTGGTAAATTCGTCTACGCAATTGTAGAATTGGCTT